TGCATTACATGAATCAAAGCTAATAGAGATTTCTCATAATAGCGAAGATTTTTACGCGACTATTCCGCAATGCAAGATTATTTGATTGACAAAAGAATCAATGGATTGTGGAAAATGAATGATTTTTTTCTTTTTTTGGTGATATCCGTAATTAGTTGTCATTATTAAAAGATTATTCAGTGACTACGACGATATGAAAATACAATTTGAGAAAATATAGAGAAAAAAATATAGAGAAAATATAGACATAAATATATGACAAAAATGGTAAATGTATTTTTTAAAGTGATTGGAATAGTCTAATATGTCTTTCTGCCATGAATGCACATAATTCAAAAATGACAGGTTGGAGCCAACTGGGATGTCCCCATATATTCCTTGATGCCCTGTAATCTTTGATGTGCTTAATCACATGTTCTACTTTGATTCTGTAGCGCTTGTGGTTATTATTGTGCCTTGTAGCCCTTCTGAGTAATCTATCGGGCATACCCCTAMGTTGTGCTTGTTTCCATGGGACTCTAAGAGGAGCACGAGCAGCGTAACCTTTATCGGCAAGCAGCTCACAATTTGGTGGCAAATCCAGTGCTAAGCCTGGACCTATTGGTTGCATCTGTAGATAAGTTCCAGCGTCATTCAAGTGTCCAGGGAATCCAGCTTCAATGTATCTGATATGGCCAAGGCAGTCACAAACTACTTGAATAGACATGACGTGTCTATGCCGATGGCCATTGTAGTACATATGTTGGTTCTCTGTTGGTCTATTTATTGGGGTAAATGTCCCATCGATGGCTCCTACAGCATTGGGTAAGTGTGTCCATGTGCCACGCATATTACACCATTCTCTACGACTGGGCCATGTTACGCTTCGATGAAAGTGATGCCATAAAATGGGAGCAATTTGGTGAATCGTACCAGAGACTGTGCTCATGCTGACATCAAAAATAAGGGCCAAGATGTCCATACTAGTGTATTTACGTAACCATATTAATACTAGCAAGACACGATTAGCTACAGATAGTGTATAGGGTCTGCCTTCTCTGGCTCTTCTCTGGCCATCTCTTCTTAATTGTACTACTCTATCACGCACGTTGTCAACAAGTTCATTTAACGATTCTGGTGTTTCTCCACACAATAGCCAAAAGAGATATTCATGCYGTGAAAACAATCTTACGACATTCCTTCCAGTGAATTCATCAGAATTGCGACTTAGAGGGAAAAGAGATAGCGGAAACGAGAGTTTGAAATATCGAAGAATTGAAGGTGGCGGTATGCTCACTAAAAACTGAAGAACGAAGAAACAACTGATTCTATGATTCTATCGTTACTATTATCTTCAGGTTCTTCARGAAGTGGAGCTGGTAAACTAGCAATAACAGTACACAGAATGTAAGACAATTGAATGATGCTTTCCATCTCATTGCAAGTGTAAGATTAGTGTGATTTATGCCTTCCCCTTCTGGATTATCGTTGTAATCATGTACAAGCGGGCGCTTTCTTCATACAAATCAGGTTCTTTTGTATGATTGCACTTGAATCAAAGAACCATGATTATGATGAACAGAATTTCGTTTCGCTTGCCTTGACATCAATGGGCAGTAATCGTTTTTTYGTAATCTTTGTTAAATTAAGCTTTAAATGTTGAAATGCCAGTAAGTCAAGTCTTCATTAAAACTCTGTTGCGACGAGAACACTTGAAGTTTGAAGATGTCGAGCATTTGGAGGCCGTTTGATGTTCCATCTCATAGCGAACCGACCACCAGTATACCCAAGAAAACAGAACGACGTAAGCTTTATGAATAGAGGATTCTTTAAGTTCTAGAATTAGCAGAATTGCAATTTGTAATTTTTTTGTATCAAACACATTCAACATTGATATTCATGCATTTTTCATTTTCCAAATGGTCTTAAATCTTGTGAAGTCTACAAATTTACTTGTGCGGGGTTTCAATCTYGTTATATTGGAGAGACATCTCGGCATAATGTAATGTTGAAACATGTTAAGATTAAAAAAATATATCGTATCTTTTAAAATTTTCTGATCAATTCACAGTTAAGAAAACTCCAGACGCAGCAGAGGGTTCTCTTATCACCGAAGCTTGGTTAGCAGAAAGGACCAAAGGATGGGAAGCAGTGGCCATGTGTGCTAAAAGATTTGTCCAAAGGTCGTCTTTGAAAGCAGAAGTCAAAACGTATTACGAACGATCTAGTCTTAAAGCTATAACTGCAAGATGTAATCGACACATCAAATAACACGTTCATGTGGTTGAGAACAAAAGGGCTCAAGTTGAAACTAAGACGCAAAAGAAAGTGAAACCCTTGAACATCAACTTGGATGAACCGAGCGATGATAGTGCTGACGACGAAAAACGTCACATGGAATATACATTGAGCCCCGAAGACAGACGAGAGCGTCAAATGAATTCCAAAAAGCGAAAGCTTGATGAAAGTAATGACATCAAATTAGATGTGACGCCAAGCAAAGTAAACAAAAGTACCAAGTCCGAACTACACAAAACGGCTCTCGAGAAACATACCCAGATGTGCGAGGTGGCTATGGAAACAATGAAAAATATGCAAGTGCTTCTGCACAAAATGGGCGAAAAAATTTAGACCAGTGACCAGGATACAATATATAACAATGTGATGTGRGTTGCGTTTCGCTCCCTCTTTAAATTTGTCTTGTATGTATGTTGATCAAGTTGAGTATAATAMAAAAGAGATAATCAATCTTTTCTAATTCAAATATTATTTGCGTTGAGGAATAGTTGCGGAATAATCTTTTGAATAATGACAACTAACTACGGATATCACCAAAAAAGAAAACAAAAAATATTAATTGGCATATTGAATGAGGTCATGCATTTTGCACAATCCATTGATTCTTTTGTCAATCAAATAATTTTGCATTGTGGAATAGTCGCGGAAAAATCTTCGCTATTATGAGAAATCTCTAATTTTACATAAAAACGTTAACAATAGTTCAACAGAAGACCACTTCAAAATCATTCTAAAACTAGAATTTTTAAATTAAAATGATCTCTCAAAATAAGCGTTGTGGTAAAACGCAACTAATTAGCGCGAAAAGAAATCTCTAGATATGAAAACTAAAAATAGATAATAATTTGGGTCCAATCAACAGGTGGGCTTCATAAGAAAAACTTAAAATTGTTTGTAAAATAWCTTACAATTATCTAAACAAAAGGAAGTGTTGATCAAGTAATAAAGAATTACAAAGTCTCAGTACAGACATCTAGTTTGAAAAAGTGCCCTTCAAGACATAAATATCATCAACAATGTTCCATTTGTATTTTGTTTTATAATTAGTAATAATTTCCATCCATTTCCGCTAATAWATCTAGAAAGTGGTCCCGCTTGATCTTGTTGTCTCCATCGAGTACCTCTGGATCGCTATAGCTATCAAACAAGGCTTCAACCAAATCTTTTGTGGAGTCGTTTTGATTCAATTCCTTAAAGACCCACTGGCACTTTCCAGAATGCATTGCGATTTGTTTATTTTGATTGTGTGTAGCAAATGACCTGAATAGTGGGCTCATTCGATTCTTGCGGGTTTCTGTGTGTAATCTCAGTAATGGCGTCCGACCTTACAGTCGATGAAGATTTGGACATTACCTCAGAATCAGATGACATTCTTAAATTATTACATGGAGACAGCCCCGAAAAATTCAATTTCTATGGCTCGTTTGTTGATGAAGATGAAAGCTCAAGTGAATGAAGAAGTGGTGAGTTTATCGTAAAAAACACCTGTTGTCAAGTTTTTAATAAGAACGTAACAGAGCTAAGTTATCTTTTTATTCCACTAAGTCATGCAATTGTAAAACAACCTGTTCGAGGAAGAGGACGACGAGAAGTGAAGGCTGCCCCTGTCGGAATGCAGAAAAGAAATGTTCTCAACGTTGTGGTTGTGGAAAGGGAAAACAAATATGCAAGAATAGAATAGAGACGAATAGAGAAGAGACGAATAGAGACGATAATCAAGCTCAGGATGAAGGACAATCTGGACAATCGACAGCAAGAAGTCCAATTGCACAACATGAAAATAGAGTGGTAATGTACCACGTAATTTAAAAACATTGATCACATTGTACTTCTTATATATATCAGCTTATATCAGGCTGAACAATCAATATTTTTGTATCAACARGTTTGCGAGTGTGGAACAACGTGTAGTAGGAAGAGGACTGCACGAAGTGCTGGCTGCCCTTGCAAAAATGCCGATTCTAAGTGTTCTTCCCGATGTGGATGTGGAGCAAAAAAACAATGCAAAAATGGGAAACTAGACGAGATAGAAAGGGAAAATGCCCAGGATTTGCCGGGTAGCGCATTTGAGAGACATCACGAAGAAGTACAGCAATCAGTCGAGGAGATTAAGGTAAAGAATTGCTATATTATTCTGTGGACATAGTGGAAGAACTCAATATTATTTCTGTATTGTTTGCAACAAAAAAAAAGCTGTGAAATAGAGATAAAATAATTGAATAAATTAAATACACTCAGAGAACTCAATGAAATGTGAAAAATTGATAAGCCTGATTACACTTTTTTCTATTTAATGTGTTTGTTTCCAATCTAAGTGTGCAACAAAAAGATAAATTACTTATAAACCTCCTTTCAATGGGAAAAGGAAGCTTGGATTTTGCAAGAAATTCCACAGCTGAGGGTGACACTGACACTGACAGTGGAGGTATGGGGAAAGAATGCTTACANCAAATCAAAATCTCTGGATATACCCCCTAGAATTTTAGAAAATTTAGGGAATGTTAAAGTGCATATGACACGTGATTTTTTCTGAAGGAATCTATGTTGTTATAGTCTTCTTAGTATTTTTGCGAAATTTGAGGGAAATTGTACCAAAAGAAATACTGTTTTTTTCATTTCGAATCGCCGGCTGTCGAGTCGRATTTTTCACCGCCATTGCGCTCGGCCAAACTACCACGTGACAAGTGTCGTGACSTCACAWGGTGTACCTAACATTTCAAAACATGGCGGACTCAAGYAGTAAARGACGTAGAACTGGGAAAAGATGTGTCGCTGGAGCACCCAACCAGACTAGCTGTAAGAACAATTCTTATACACCAGGGATAACCATGCATCTATTCCCTTCTGACGAGTCAACTCGATCGAAATGGGTTAAATTTGTGAAAATACATCGTCCCGATGATTTCAAAGAGCCGGTAAACAAGCACGCTTGCCTGTGCTCAGCACACTTTGAGGACTCTTGTTTTACACGMGATCTCAATATAGTCATGAGTATGGGCGAAAAAAACATGCGAAGAGTATTACTCAAGGGTTCAGTGCCAACGAGAGACTCTGTTATACCTCCAAAAACACCAGAATTGACGAAAAGAGCGAAGAGACAGGTAAGAATCACACCTCGAACTCTGTGACTATATGCACATGAGCAAATGCTTAGATACAATGTTTTGTTTATAGCTAAAACGAGATGCTATGGCAAGCCATTCCTCTATTAAACGGAGAAAGACAGATGATGATGAGAATGAGTTAATGGAGGTGAATATAGTAGGCGATGCTGTCAACGAGGAGACCATTGAATGTGAGGTCGAAAGTAAGACATCGAGTTATACCATGCCTGAAACACCGACAACCACCACTACTTCTTCCAACACTCCATCATCTAAATCGTGCAATGGGTGTTATACAAAGGCACAAAGCTGTAGAAATCTACGCAAAGCTAATTTAAAGTTAAAGCGTAAAGTGTCAGAACTTAAGCACTCGATGAAGCAATTGAAAACCGTAAGTGCAACGTTTAATCTGAATTAAACATCTTTCAAATTAAATATTTAACTTGTATGTTGTTATTTTTGGGTAATTTTGATCGAAATGTATGATCTTGCTTTTGAGAAAATTCTACCTAAAATGCACACTTAATATCATACATAGATGAGTGTGGGTWAGCATTCTCTAGATACTAATGTATTTGATACATTTGTAGAGGATAATTGACACCGAAACAGAGGAAGAAGGAGAGGAAGAAAGACAAGAAGGATCAACTGAGTTATTAGTGCAGGTAGATGTGGAAGATGAAGTTAGCTCTGAACCCCAYCATTATGAAGATGAACTTGAAAGCMAAGAGGACGAAAAAGATGATGATTGGACGTATGCCTCAGTTGAGGAAAGCACTTGTACAGAGGATGAGAGTAAAGGCAATGATGATGATGATTTGGATGGCAGTGAAATCAGGTAAAATAATTAAAAAATTACCACCCATATTTTACTGCTTACCAGTTATATGCACTGAATAAATATACACACAAAAACAACAATATAGGCAGCATGAACAAGAATAAAATTACTTGTAAAACTTAATTCCTTATTTTTTATCTGTATCCTGATTTTACTGTAATTACAGTAAAACTATCTGAAATAGATAGTTATTGTATGACTCAAGAATTCAATGTATCTATGTCTTCATTTCTACTTTATTTTGTTTTTAAGTACCTTATAGCATTATAATGTAGGTTTATATATGTGTGTTTTCATAATTGCAGAGTGGACCCAGAGCAACCAGATGAACAGCAGCCAAAATTTATAGTGTTCTATTGGCAACTCATTGSTATTTTTTCGATGTTTTGCTTTAACTGCAAAGAATCAAAGCCATCAGTCAAAGCRAAGAAATTTGGCACTATGGTCACAATTTCTCAAGAATGTCTGCAGTGCAACAAAATGTTTGAATGGAGGTCCCAACCACTGCTTAATGGGAAAATTCCTTATGGGAATATACTATTGAGCTACAGCATTTTAATGGCTGGTGCTTCTRTAAGCAAAACGCTTCTTATATTCAAGCATCTAGGTTTGTGTGTCTATTCAGCCAGGGCCTATTTTAGACACCAAAAGGATTACCTCTTTCCAGCTGTACTAAGTTATTGGGAAGACTACAGATCAAAATTAGTGAATCAAGTCAAGAAGTTAAAGGAGACAGCATGGTCAGGAGATGGCAGATYTGATTCCATGGGCCATTCAGCCAAATACGGGGCAAACACTATGATGTGCACCACAGTGATGAAGATAGTTCACTTTGAAATTGTACAGGTAGGTTGACCTAACATAAATTTACAGGGTGGGGTGGAAATGAGGAGTGGATCAAAATCTTTGGTACACATAATTTTTTACTCATCATTTCTGTTTTTATGCATGTATTGTAAAGTACTTCTTGGGTAATGTTGTTACTCAGCTTGATTTTTTAATCATATTGGCCAATTCCTATTTATTATCTTTGTCAATGTTATTTTTCAGTCAAATGAAACAGGGGGAAGTCAGCAAACTGAACTYGAAGGATGTAAGAGAAGCTTTGGTTTTCTGAARGAACTTGGCTTGAAAATACCTGTTTTTATTTCTGATCGCCATAGAGGGATTGCAAAGTGGATTCGTACCTCCTGCCCTGGCACAACACACTTTTATGATATTTGGCATGTTGCTCGATCAGTGACAAAAAAATTACTTAAAGTTGGAAAGGAAAAGGGCTGTGACATTATCACCACTTGGATAAAAGGAATACGCAGGCATTTGTATTGGTGTGCAACTTCAACCAAAACTGGATTTGGTTCCTTGATTGTAGCAAAGTGGACATCATTCCTGCGCCATGTTACAAACAAACATACAGCTCATCCAGATTCACTTTACAAGAGCTGCAGCCATGGTAAACTTGCTCCCAGAAAATGGATCAAAATAGGTAAATATAGGTTGATAAATGCAAGTAATAGTGTAAAACATTACAGAAGATTCAAAGTTATGGATGATTAATAGTATAAAAAGTGTGCTATCCAGTATTCTTGCTTCTGTTGATTTGTTCCATATGCATATACATTGTATAGTGTGCTATCCAGTATTCTTGCTTCTGTTGATTTGTTCCATATGCATATACATTGTATCTATAGATAGAAATTCACAGAAAATAAACTGATAAGTTTTTAGTATATTAATTAATTTATTACTATTATTATTTAGGAACATCAGCCTACCAAAAGTTGAGTGGTGTGTTGTCAAAGACAATACTACTTAATGATATTCGAAAGCTTTCATCAGAGGCGCAGACCAGCTGCCTCGAAGGCTTCCATGCTACACTGAACAATTGGCACCCCAAAATGATATGCTACTCATGGTTGGGAACATTCTGCAGGTAACATGATTATAGTGTATGCACTTTCTGTTTCTACAATGTACAAATAATAAGAGATTTATAGACATACATACATTTGACACACATGGTGCATTGATTTTATGAGATGATKTGAAAACAGTAAGCTTACTTATTCAACATTTTTGATTTTAATTTTTTGTAGACATGCTCTGGCAGTGCTTCATTTTAATGAAAACCTACAACGAKAACCCCAAAAATCTAAAAGTGGTGAGAAATATGTGAAAGTATGTTWTCCAAAATACAAAGTTGGAGATGAAATTGTTAGAGATGTCAAGGTTGMCCCCACCTATGGTATGTGTCTTTGACATGACTGTTATTTAAGCCTGTCTCCTTGAGGCAGCATCTACACTTGAAAGCTTCTTAGTGTAATATATATTATAAAACTCATTGATATTAATAAGACAAAACACAATAAAAATCATAACCAATGAAGAGAGTTGTAAATCCACAATTTTTAAGCATGAACAACGATTGCTCAACTGTGCCTTTTTGTTTTATAAATATGTACATATAATATCTGGAATTCAAAATCTCTTTCTTATAGTTTATGCATCAGACATTCTCAAAGTAGTTCTGCACCTTTCAAAAGAGCAGAGGATTTCAATTTTCAACAAGTATCAGCCCAAAGTACAAGCCTCCCTCACCTCACAGTTTACAGAAAGGAAAACAAAAACAGAAGCAATCAAAGAAAAKGATAAGAGAAGCCAGAACTCAAATATTCTTTTTCCTTCAGGTAATTTAAAGTACAACCAACAAATGGGCTTGTGCTGTGTGCCATTAACAAACAAATACCACTCATGATAATTGGTATTTGAAAATACAAATTTTGCATTTCAAAATGTAATACTTCAGTGCATGATCTGYTGCCATGAATTTATATATAGTCATAAATTCTTTTTGGACTTTAAGAACCCAAACAACTCCAAATGCTAAAAAAAAACAAAAAAAAGAAGAGAAGACTAAAAAGACCTCAAAAAAGAAAACTACCAAGAGAAAGAAAAAATCTTGAAAAATAAAGAATAATTTAATGTAAATATAAAAATAGTCTTTTGTGTACATTACAAAAAATATTGAACTTCTAGTTTATAGTATATATAATTATATTTATAGTTTGATCGTTTTTATTAATACATAGCATTTTAGTTTGCATGATCCATTTTCATATTTATTGTATAAAAATTATAAAGAATTGCAAAGAGCATCAAGGGCAGTAAAATAAATATATTATTATAATTATATCATTGATAGAGTGCTTGCACTTAAACCGTGAAACAAATAGTACTAATTACTACTAAATAGTGTTGATTATACAATAGGAAACAAAGGAATTTGTATAATTTATCACTTATTTTTTTGTAGTATTTATATTTCACGCATTTAGTGCGAGCACTCTACTATGTAAGCACTCTAGCAATTAAATAAAAAACAAAAAATCTTTGTATCTTGAAGCCAAAGGTTTAGTCATTGTTCGTCATTTTCATTTTCATTTGATCKATATCCTCTCCTTTGGTTTGAAGGGTATTTGTTTCTAATAGCACTGTATATGCAGGCACACAATGGTCTTCGATTATCCCAACCCATATATCCGCAAATCCAGCGTATAACCCAGCGATAGGCAACTGCTCTGAGAAATCTATGAGAAGAAAGAAGTTTTCAAACAGTTAATAATTTGAAAGTGATCATATGTAGGTAAAATATCAATGAACTCACTCGTTTTGCGTGGAACCGGTTTGTCGGCGATAACGTAGTAATGGCGCAACTTGCATCAACACTGTCTTGTTTATCAAAGCTGAAAAATCTTCATGTTGTGTGATGCACTTAAAATGTTCGATTGATCCATCAAAAACCATTTTTCCGATAGCATTTGTTATTTCGTGGCAGCATCTATACTCCATAGCGTCCTCGAGAGATTCGGTATGACAGCATTGGCATTTACACCTAGAAACATCGAACAATTTCCTTACTATTTATKGTATTACAAACCAAAATTGTGTCGTAGAAATCTTACCACTCATTCACTGTTGACTGGTCTTCAAATCGAGCCTCTAAGGTGGAAGGACGAAGCCCATCTACATCTAAATCCTCGTCTCCATCTTCATCTTCTTCGCTCTCACTTGCTAGMGGTTCGTCTTGGTATGGCTCTTCTACTRGCATGTTTTCTTGATTGGAATCCGCACTCTCTGTGCTAGTTGATGAGCCTGAGGACTCTGAAGTATCTGACTCATCACATGATTCATCGWWATCGCTAAAAGTTTCTAAATTTTCGTTTTGGGACATGATAATTTTCCTTCGTGTTCGCTGTATCTGGTRTGTTTATCGTGCTGTTACCAGGAAAGCGTACACCTTGTGACGTAATCATAAATAAACACTTGTCACCAGGCCCCGGTAGAATTACTTGGGTTTTATGCGCAGTTTTGACCGATAAAAACATACAATATTTTTCAACAAAATTTATTCAAACTTTTCGAACATATTATTCAAACTACGAACTAATAATATCCGAATTAAAAAAATACATGTCATATGCACTTTAACTCTAAATTAATTTATTGGAAATTGATTGAAAATAAATTCAGTATTCCAACTGCTCAAAATTATATTTCGAATAAATTACGCATTCCTGACATTGAGTGGTCGGAGGTGTACCAAAATGTGTATCTTGTTACAAATGACGTGAAATTAAGAGCGTTCCAGTATAAAATTCTAAACAATTGTTTGTTTCTTAGCAAAGATCTGTTTAGATTTCACTTAGTAGATTCACCCAACTGCGTGTTTTGTAAAACTGAAAAGGAAACTATGGAACATCTTTTCGTAGAATGTCATTTCTCTAAAGTATTTTACTCTTCAGCTAAGAATTGGCTTAGAACTGGAGGAATAATTTTACCGGA